AGCAGCAGCAGCAGCAGCAGCAGCAGGAAGGGCAGCAGCTTGATTTTGTGCTTGTTCATTTGCCGTGTGTGCTTGGATAGCTAGCTATACAAACAGCTAGCCAGTCATATGAAAGGCTGGCTAGCTATACAAACAGCTAACTATCTACGGAAACAGCTAGCTAGCTAGCTAACTGGCTACCTAGCTAGCTAGCTGTATAACCCAGCTAGCTAGCTGTATAGCACAGCTAGCTGGCAATATGGGTGGTCAGCTAGCTATACAAACGGCTAGCTAGCCATATACACAGCTAGCTAGCTATATAAACAGCCAGCTAGCTGTGTAGGTGGGTGGCTAGCTATATAAGCAGCCAGCTAGCCAGCCAGCTAAGTAAGCAGCTAGCTAGCTAGCTACATAAACAGCTAGCTAGCTGTATACACAGCTAGCTAGCTCTATGGATGGTTTCCTTCCCACTGGGTCTGCTGCCTCTTGATGAAAACCCTAAACCCTAAACCCTAAACCCTAAACCCTTGACCTTCAAATGTGAGCCCTATGCTGTTGGTTTAGGCCCTCGCGGGCGTACTGTGCTCGTTGCAGTGTCGTAATCTGCTGCTGCTGTTGCTGCTGCTTCTGTTGCTGCTGCTGCTGTTTTTGCTACTGCTGTTGCTGCTGCTGTTGCTGCTACTGCTGCTGCTATTTGGCTTTTGCTTTCTCTGGCTCTTTTTGCTTTCCGCAGTTTCCCCGAGTTCGCCGGGAGCTCCTTTTGGTCTAGGGTTTAGGGTTTAGGGTTTACGGTTTAGGGTTTCTGAGGTGTACGTACACCTGGATATCTGCATGCACTTCGTCTGCTGAAGGGAAGGCTTTAATTAAAAGAAGTTTTGGATTTGAGGTAAATCTAAAACAAATGTTTATTTTGGAATTAATTTAATTATTTTATTTAATTAGTTTTTTTGTTTGCTTCGCATTCGTGAGGTGTATGTACACCCCAAAGATAAGACTGTGGTGTCTCACTTTCGCCGTCAATTTTCTTTTACAGTTCGTTCGGCTACTTCTGCTGCTGCTGCTGCTGCTGTTGCTGCTGCTGCTGCTGCTGCTGTTGCTGCTTTTGCTGCTGCTGCAGCTGCTGCTGCTGCTACACACTGGCTGCGTGGGACGGGAAGGTCTGCAAGGGAGCCTTCCTGTGGCTTGGTACGGAATCTCAGCAGCAGCTCTAAGTTCTGCTGCTGCTGCTGTTGTTGCTGCTGCTGCTTTTTCTTTGCTGCTGCTGCTTCCACCGCCAACTAGGGCTTCCCCGCTCTGGTGTCTGCCTCTCTCCTCTGCGGTTTATTTAGTATTTTAGTTGCTTAGAAGCTGCAGATGGGCTGCAGCAGCCGCAGCAGCGGCAGCAGCAGCAGCAGCGGCAGCAGCAGCAGCAGAGGGAGAGCTGCTGCCTGCAACCGCACCGCGAGGCTTGCGCACCGGGTGTCTGTGCAGCATTTCTTCTTTTCTGTTCTGCTGCTTCTTTTTGCAAATTAAAACTAATTTAAATTCAATTTAATGCAAATTAGTTCATTTATTTATTTCCTTTTCGTAGCGCGAGAGGCGCGCGGCCTGGTCACCTGCTGCTGCCTCTGGGGTGTACAGACAGCTCCCGCCCCGCCTCTTCAGCCTTCTGCGCCAAAGCTGCTCCAATTCGCCAATCATTTCTTTTATTTTCCTTTCCAATTTATTTTATTTTCAATTTAATGCCATTTAAAACTCCCAAACCGGCAACTGACCCAGTCGAGACACCCAAGCGGCGACGCCCGCAGCTGAGCTGAGCAGACACCCCAGATCAGGTCCAGATATTCAGAAGAAATACACCTGCCCTAAACCCTAAACCCTAAACCCTGGAAGTCCTAAAAGTAACCCCTCCATGCTCAGAAGTGAGGGAATGCAACACTCTAAACCCTAAACCCTAGACCTCCAGTCCTAAACCCGCAGCTGGTGGAGATACACTGGCGAGGCTTCCTTTACTCAGAGCCGCGAGCCCTAACCCTGAACCCTAAACCCTAAACCCCAGGGGCCCCAGCTCTCGGGCTCCAAACCCTAAACCCTAAACCCTAATTGTTATCGCCAAGTTGATGAAATGAACAAATAAAATGTCGACAGCAAATGCGCACACAACTGCTCGGCTGCTAAAGCGCTGCTGCACCTTCCAGAAACGAGGCCAGCAGCAGCAGCAGCAGCAGCAGCTGCTGCTGCTGCTGCAGCAGACTGCAGCACGTGCTGCAGTCTGCTGCTGCTTATGGCTGCTGCATGTACACCCGGTGCTTTGGGGGACGCTGGGAGTCAGCCCACTGCTGCTGCTGCTGCTGCTGCTGGTGGTCTCGAGAGCCTTCGTGGTAAGGTGGGCTGGCAATTGCTGCAGGTGCTGCTGCTGCCGCGGCTGCTGCTGCTGCTGCATTCAAGCGGCGGGGGCAGATGTTCTCCTGGCCCAGAGAGAGCCGTGCAGCGCTGTCAGCAGCAGCAGCAGCTGCTGCTGCTGCTGCTGCATCAGCTGCTGCTGCTGCTGGGTCCGCTTCAGGGGCCCCCGATGCAGCCGTGTAATATTGTTCGAAATATCTGCTGCTGCTGCTGCTGCGGCGCCACTGCAGCGGCAGAGCACTCGGTGTCGCATCCTCAGCAGCAGATAAGCGCCCCCTAGTCCTTGGGTGCTTCTGCTGCCAGTCTACATTTTGCTGCTGCTGCTGCTGCTGCTGCTGCTGGCTAGCAATTGAGGCCGAACGGCTGCTGCTGGTATGCCTTCTCCGTCTCCTAACAGAAGCAGAAGCTTCCCCTGGCTCGCTGCTGCTGCTGCTGCTGCTGCTGCGGAAGGCGCTGCAGCTGCTGCGCAGCAGCGCGTGCCACTGGGCGGCGCCTTCTTCCCACAGCCGCAGCAGCAGGTTGTCTTGCTGCTGCAGCAGCTGCAGCAGCGGCTGCTGCAGCAGCAGCCGCCAAAAGTAAATATCTGAGTCGTACCGACACTTCAAAATGTAGCAGCAGCAGCAACGCTCCCACTCCAGCACCTTTAGCTCATTGTTCTTTTGCTGCTGCAGCAGCAGCAGCTGCTGCTGCTGCTGCGGGCGCTGTGCGTAAGGACGCAGCAGCAGCAGCAGCAGCACCCCCGTCAGCTTGCTGCCAGGGACCTGCTGCAGCAGGTTGTTTGCTGCTGCAGCGCAGCAGCAGCGCAGCAGCAGGTCGTGCAGGCACGCGAGCAGTCCCGTGCCAACAAGAAAGTCGAAGAGCGACAGCAAAGTCCACCCGCTATTGCTGCTGCTGCTGTTGTTGCTGCTGCTGCTGTTAACGAATCCCCCGAGCTGCTGCTGCTGCTGCAGCATAAGCTCACAACTATTCTCTGAAGTGAAGATGCCGTCCTCAGCTGCTGCTCCAGATGTGCTCTCAGCAGCAGTAGCAGCAGCAGCAGCAGCAGCAGCAGCATGCGCCTGCGGCATGTGCTGCAGCAGCAGCGGAAAGTCCCTCAGAGCAGCAAGATGCAGCAGCAAACTGTCAGCTGGGGTGATGGAGAGCCACAGACAAGGCTGCAGCAGCTGCAGCATATCTGCCTGCACCATGATCACGTCATCCACGGTGAAGAACTGCTGCTGCTGCTGCTGCGGCTGCTGCTGCTGCTGTTGTTGTTGCAGCTGCTGCTGCAGCTGCTGCTGCAGCTGCAGCAGGTACTGGTCCGCAGCAAGGTCTCGCCAGTGGCACCGCAGCGCAGCAGCCAGCAGCAGCGCAGCAGCAGAACACAGCGCAAGCTCTCTGTTGCTGCAGCACCTGCAGCAGCTGCTGCTGCTGCTGCATGTACACCTGAAGGGGAAGTTCGGGTGGGCAGCATAGGCCTCCAGCAGCTGCAGCGCAGCAAATCTGCTGCTGCAGCAAAACCCGAAGGCTTCCCCAGCGCCCCACAGCCACTGCCACAAAGCACTCCTTCCCCCTTGCTGCTGCTGCTGCTGCTGGTTGTCGGCTGCTGCTGCTGCTGCTGCTGCTCCCTGCAGCAGATCGCGAGCAGCAGGCAAAAAGGAAGTTGTTGTTGAAGTCAGGCAGTCGATCCAGGCTGAGTACACTTGCTGCTGCTGCTGCTGCTGCTGCTGGGGTTGCGGCTGGGGATGCTGCAGCAGCAGCAGCTGCTGCTGCAGCAGCGGCAACTGCTGCTGCTGCCAAGCAGCAGCAACCGCCCGCCACCAGTGGAACTTCAGGTCCAGCAAGTCTGCATGCAGCAGCGCAAAAGCTTCTTCTTCTGCTGCTGTTGCTGCTGCTGCTGCAGCTGCAGTGCACGCTGCAGTAGCCCACCTCCGGTGGAAGAGAGGCAGCAATTTGGAGGCTTCGGCTTTGCAGATTTGAGACGCTGGCTTCTGCTGCTGCTGCTGCTGCTGCTTCTGGTGCTGCTGCTGCTGCTGCTTCTGTTTCTTTTGCTGCTGCAGCTGCGATGCGCGACCGCACTTCCTGCAGCCGACCCGCCCACTTCTGCTGCTCATCTAGCGTCTGCTGCTGCTGCTGCTGCTGCTGTGCTTCTTTAAAAGGCATCAAGAACGGCAGCAGCCGAAGGGCTGCTGCTGCTGTCTGTGTTGCAGCAGCAGCAGCTGCTGCTGCTGCTCTCTTCACTCTCCCTTCTGCAGCTAATGCAGCAGCAGAAGGAGCATCGAGTGCTGCAGGAAAGGCAGCAGCAGCAGCTGCAGCAGCAGCAGACGGGGCACCAGCAGCAGCAGAAGCAGCAGCAGGAAAGTGACTGCGCTTGATTATCAGTCGCGTTCTGCTGCTGCTAGTGGGTGCCGTCCCTGTTGCTGCTGCTGCTGCTGCTAATGCTGCTGCTGGTGAATCCGTCCGTGGAGTTGAAGCTGCTGCTGCTGCTGCTGCTGCGTCATCTGCTGCAGCTGCAGCAAAGTATGCAGCAGCAGCGGCACTAAGCGGGCTGCTGCTATCTCTCCCGTTTCTGCTGCTGCTGCTGCTGCTGCGGTGGTGGCGGCCTCCAGGCGTCCTGTCTGCTGCTGATGCTGCTGCTGCTCCTGCTGGTGTCTCTCCAGGACTGCAGGCCACACTATGGCCGCAGAAAGCTGCAGCAGCACTACTTGCTGCTGTTGCTGCTGCTGCTGCTGGACTTGAGTCTGCCCTGGTAGAAGGCTCTGTGAGCAGCACCACGCTGTTGCTGCTGCTGCAGCGTTTGCTGCTGCTGCTGCCGTGCATGCGCCAGCAGCTGGAGTCCCAGGGTCTGCTGCTGCTGCTGTTGCTGCTGCTGCTGCTGTTGCTGTTGGTGCTGCGGCTACTGCTGCTGCTGGGGGCCCACCCGTGAAGCTGCTGCTGCTGCTGCTGCAGCATATGCTGCTTAACTC